ACCAAGCCACGCCCACCGTCACATGACCCCTCCAGCTACGGCCATTCAGAGAGCATGACCACCAAGCCACGCCCACCGTCACATGACCCCTCCAGCTACGGCCATTCAGTCACATGACCACCAAGCCATGCCCACTGGTAGTAAAAAAAATTGAATACCACCACTGATTTACAATATGCAATGAGGTCATTACTCAGAATCATAGACTAATAAAAAGTGTTCACCTCAACATAATGAGCTATACAGTACAATTCCACTTTACTTCAAAACCTGGTGCATATCCTTAGCATTAACATTGCTTAATAGTTGTAAAATCTTCAAGGACACACTGAAGTTCTGACTTATAGAAATATTTCAATTTATTAAATAGTTAGTCAATTGGCCTTGTTTCAACAAAGAATTATTTTCTGCTGGCGTAGTTTCATTACAAATTTGATACCATGTTGTTTCCTCTCTTTTTAATCTTTTAAAAGTTTAAAAACAATGGGAAAAGTGAACTGTGTTATGAATGTTTTCAACATCCTGCTATGGTGAACAATTTCTTCAGATAAATGAACAAAGAAGAAATTGTAGCATACAATTAGAATAATAAAAAACACAACCTATTTTTCAGGCAATTCAAGAAAATTGAAGCTTTTCATATATCACTCTGAGTATCACTCTGGCTCACCAAAACTATTCAGAATAACAATGGAACCACAGTTCCCTCTTCCCACACACACTTCTGCAATTGAAAAATTCTCTGGCACAGTTCAGTGAAAGATATTAACTTAAGATAATGAAGCTGCACTTGCATTGCAGATATCTTTATCACATGTATACAGTAGGTCACTGTAGAGAGTGGTTTTTATCTTGGAAAAAGATTAGGTTTCCGTTCTTGTATTTAAAAAAGCGAAAATTAGAATATTTCGGACATGTCATGCGACACCTGGAAAAATATGCCATACTTCACTTAATCCTCTGGGGAAAGATTGAAGACAAGCAAGGTCCAGGCAGAAGAAGAACATCATGGCTTCAAAATCTAAGGGACTGGTCTGGACAAAACTCAGCAGCACTTTTTCATGCAGCTGTTGCTAAAGATCGCCAATGTCCTATGACAGATATGGAAGAAGAAGAAGAAGAAGAAGAAGAAGAAGAAGAAGAAGAAGAAGAAGAAGAAGAAGAAGAAGAAGAAGAAGAAGAAGAAGNTTACATCAGAAGTGGGTTCCTACCAGTTTGCACCTATTGGGTAAAACCGGTTTGTCAAATCTACCGAACCGGTTAGAAGAGATTCCACCAGTGGATACGGAAAGCAGGCCACACCTACAGAAGAGGTTCCAAAATTTTTTGAAACCCACCACTGGTTTACACATAACTATGGTGGAATATTCATACAGTTTATTACATTGTTAAATTGTGATGTTATTTGTGAAGCTTGAATTGTAATGTGTCCTATCTGAAAATTAAAGCATACAGGAAATAGCACTATGCAAATTCTAAAATAAATAAATAAATACATACATAAAATAAAACAGCTACTAACTTTCTGACACTCATTTTTCAGTAATTAAATCCAATGATTCCCCCATCATAATCACATTAAATTATGCAAACTGCCCTAGATCAAATCTCTGTTCCAAATATTAGGTAAGCTTGCACTACAATATGTTAAAAGTAAAAGCAACATATTCTTTTTAAAGTATAAAAACATAAAAGCGTATTCTTTTTTAGAGTATATTTTTATTAAAGTTTTCAAACAAGAAGGTAAAAAGCTAACAGAAACTAAAAGACATACAGTAAGAAAGGAAAAAAGAAAAAAAGTCAAAGAAAAAGCAGAAAGTGCAAGAAAAAGAAAAAAAACTGAAGAAAAATAGAAAAGAAAGGGAAAAAGATATAATGAAGTGGCTTTCCATATTTTTCACAGCAGTTATAAGTACAAATATATATTGACTTGTTTCTCTAAAATTACATCACATTACGCTTCTTTCTATAATCTATCCTGTCTAATTATCAAATCATAAATCATAAGTTAATTTTTTTTCAGTTCATTCAAAAAGTCCATCAGAGGCTTTCATTCAGTAATAAATGTAGATAATACCTTTTTTTTCTAATCGGAGAAGCCAATTTATCAGTTTCAGCAAAAATCTGTCAACTTCGCCAAGTATTCCTTTCCATTTGTTTGCATCATGTTGCTGCAAACATATATTGAAACGATATCCCAAAGCTTTTTTCTAACTAGTTTTCCATCAATTCTAAAAGGCAAAGTTCTGGCTTCAACTGAATTTTGATCTTTAAAAACCTGTATACATTTGGATCCATTTTTTTTTTTTAGTTTTTAAACACATACATAATAATTGTGCTGTTTATGATACTATTCATTCATTCATTTATCAATCACATTCATTCATTCATTCATTTATCAATCACATTTCTATACCAGCTATCTTATCAAAGAGACTTTGATTGGCTCATAATAAAAATATGCCAAAATATAAAAATATGAATCAGAAGAAAATTAAAAACAGAATTAAAAGATAAGGTTATGGAATTAAGAGTTAAAAAGCTAGAGAGAACACTCTCGTGATTCCACCATCTAAGGGTATTGCCTAACACTCTTTAAACCTCCATGCCAATTGGCAGATCCAATCTTTAAGTCAAAAGATTTCTGCATGCATATAACATTTCCATCATTAAAGGGATTGGCAAGGACAATACCAATAAAGCAGTATTCTGAAATCCCATGCGTCGTTACCAAATTTGAAAATGTCTTTTTCAGCATTGAGAAACTGGTGCAGTCCCAACTGAAATTTTCCACATGTGGTTGGAAAATCTGGCAGGTTGCAGTCCTCCTAACTAAGGCCTTATGTTGAGAACAAACAGGGGGTGTGCCTGACTGTCTGTGTGTGCATTCTATTCTTTATAATAGGGCTGTCAACCAGTGGAAAAAAATTACACCTTGATTTATTATGTGCCCTTTAACTAACTAATCCATCAATTAATTGATTAAATGTATTGGCATATACCCAAACCTGAATAGTAGATGCCTTTTTAACATATTGAAATAAATGTAAGATAATTTGTATTTTAATAAAGAAAAAAGGGCTGCTCATTAAAAAGACAGACTATCATTTGCTCGTTTCTTTTTCATTCTTGATTTGGTAACATATTGACTTTAAATTGGAAACTTGTGCGTCTTTGCTTTTCCTGATTGATGTTGAACAATCTACCTATTAAGCAAATGGAACACGGATTGCTTGTGCTTCTGTATGCAGGCCTACACATATTTCTAATAGCCCTGTATGTATTATAAAATTAAGCTTTATGACTGGTAACTTATGGCTACTTACATTTTACCTCTGTTTTTACAGTGAAATGGGTGGTATATCAGACAGCTTATTAAAGAGACAAGCTTGCTGCTTTCTCAAAGTCGGATGACAGAACAAGTCAGGGTATGTATTGTAATTTCAGTGCTGCAATACATCTTGAAGCTGTCTGAGGCAAAACGCTTGCTAAGCATTGCATTGGGGCTGTCAGAATGCTTCATGGGGTAGTAATTAAATTGAAGCAATTGTACTCTTCATTTGGTGGAGGCAAGCCAAAACTATATGTAGAATAGAAATGTTTTTTCCATAAACCTTGCTTGTTGTACTTGGCTTTTACTTTTTTTAAGCGAGGGAACGAAATGTCTTTCCTTGAAGGATATTTATTTCAATAGAACAGGTTGAACTTTTCACTGTTGTTCCTTCCCTTTCATTTCTGTATTTGTTAGCTATGGTTTCTTCTGCTTCGTATTATCCTTGAAGGAAAGAGGACAGCAAGAACTTAAAATCTAATAGCTAGTATCGCCTGCTATCAGTGGACTAAAGACTTGAAAAAACAAGTTGAGTCAAGATCTGTGTCTGCACTGGAACTGTCTCATCCCAATTAGACCAACCTGTCCCACCAGGTGAGGTGGATATTTATTTATTTGAGTTATGTGCTCTTCATCTCATCTAGAGGCTAGAGCAGTGATGGTTAACCTTTTCGGCACCAAGTGCCGAAACTGGAGCATGTGCGTGCGCGCATGTGCGCACACCTTGGAACCTGGAAGAGAGCAGCTGGCCGGGGTGCATACACACTGGACCCGTTGGCTGGTGTGCATGAGCACAACGGAACCCGGAAGAGCAGCTGACAACAGTGTGCATGCCCACAGAGAGGACTCTGCATGTCACCTCTGGCACACGTGCCATAAGTTCGCCATCACAGGCCTAGAGTATATATCGTGATCCTGTTAGTTGAAGGGAAAAAAAACACCTTCTCTGCTGTCGCTCCCCTGCCCTATGAAACATCTTACCCAAGAGGTGAAACCGGCCTCCACTCTTTTGGCTTCTGGAAGAATCTCAAAGTTGGCTCTATCAATTGGCATAAAGGTCTAAGAGTGATATGGAACCCGGGGTCAGTTGGAGACTTGAGGATTTGCCTGCTACCTCTTTTAACTTTTTTATATCTTCAACTAACAGGA